CTGCTGATCCCTCGACTCATCGACGTGAAGTACCTGGACGCGCTGGATGAGCGTCATTGAAGAAAAATGGGCCGCGCGCATACATCGACACATGACAAGAACCACGTGTCGTTCGTTCATCATCGAGAAGGGAATGAAAGCACGATGTCCGGCTACGCTAGTAGCACGGACGACGAAATATTATAGTATGAATGGTCGGGGCAGAAAGCGAAATAAGCAGGCGATGCGCGGATCATAACCTCGACGATCACAGGGACAAAGCCGCAGCGGCCGCGGCCGTCGCCGTGTACCAACCGACGGCCAAGTAGGCGTTCGTCGTCGGACGATTCAGACGTGTATAGACGTTAAATCTATATCGTTACCATTTGTACTGTGTGAAGACGTAGCAGTTAATCGGAGGGAGAATGTTGTGTCATATGTAAAACCCGACTGGTGCTTGTCAATAAAACGATTAAGCGATTATGATCAATGAGGACGACAAAGAAGCTGAACAGGAAGGCAAAGTGATCCTCAGAGAGACAGTTAAAGATGCAGGACATTTCTTTTGTTGACAAATGGTTTTGGTGGTACATGTGGACTTTGGTTCATCATACTTTAGGTTAATATATACTTCACACGTTGAACGTGCGCGACAGGAAAGCCGAATTTTGATAGTTAGGTTCCAATGATTGTAAAGCTTTCCGACAGTAAGCTTTACTTGAATCAGTAAATATTCAAAGCAACATCAAGCGGTAAACAAGATGGGGAGTGTATGTTAGAAACTTTTGAGCTCAAAGGAAAATTTCTTGCAGTTTTATTGGTTCCAAGCATAAGAAAACAAGCTTATAAGCTTAGGCCGACAGATTTGCTATCAACGCACAAATATATTATATTATGCAACAAAAAAATAACTCAAGGATTGGGGACACTGCGACTATAAGCGTTGTTCAATGATGGGTTTTTGCTCCTCTGAATTTCTCAGCGCAAGGAATAATCCTCAGTGCGAGCTGGAATGGCGCTGACTTAGCCTCTACTCTCTGAATGCTCAGAGACTACCCTTTTGGACTTCAGTTGTATGAGATGGTGATCATTCGCAAGCAACGTGCTACTATGTCACTGATAGTTGATTGTGCTACCTGATCAATGATTTGCTCTATATCGATCTTGCTGAAACGAGAAATAAGCACGATGTAACTTCTACATGTCAAAACTTTATTACGTGAATAATATCACTAGATATACAACGGATCTTCATGGACAAATGCTACC